CATTTTCGGCCTTAGTTAATGTTTAGCACTAATTAGCTAACGTTAGCGTGCTAACACGATAAACTAAGATGTGCAAGTATTTAGCTAAGTACTGTGTCACAGAGCCGCTACCATGGCTGCTAGTCTCACATCGGCAGACCTTTCTCCACAGCGCCGTGTTAGTGTTGAAGAAAGGTCAGACTCCACACATTATCCTTCTGCAACAGGGAAGAAAAGAAAACTAGCTTGTTTGTATTTATTTAAACCAATCACAATCGCAGGGTGGCACTAAGCCCAGGATGCAGCAATGGTGCCCTTACCATATGGATAGTGGAAGGTGAGGGCAATCCGCTTGAGACACACGGCGACTTATACCCACGGTCTACATCCTTCTGCATGGCTGTAAACTCCTAGCCTTGTTTAAATATTTTTTGTATCCAACATGTCTTTTGAAGAGGGACCAATAGTGTGCACATCCTGACAAAAATACTCCGACAAAAGACACAAACGTAACTGTTGAGCACAAAGGAGGTCTGCACACTGTTAAGAAATATGGTTTATTTCTCATAGAGATTCCTCAATCCTTGGCCATTGTTCATGAAGGAAGAGCAACACTAAAAGTGTGCAGACCTCCTTTGTGCCCTCCAGCGTGTCCCTTGACATACTATATATACATGTCTCCTGATGAGACTGAGTCCTTCAAACTGTCTTTAAATAGGAGGCATGTGGTGTAAAGATGAGGGTCAACAAACAACACAGTCCATGTGAACTTGTTGAGCGGTGTGGATGTGCATGTGTCCCCACATCATGGTCACTTGACCAGTGATCACAGCTGCTCCGTGGTGTTTGTGGCCATTCTAATAAGATAATCACCCGCTCAGGCCTTCCTGCTGACTGCCTGCGCACACACACACACACACACGCGCACACACACGCACATGCACACATTGGCTCACATGACCCTGACGGACTGTAATCAGCATGTTCATGTTCCTCTCAGTTGTTTGCTTTTAGGCATGCAAAGACTGCCCTCTACTATAACACACACACACACACACACACACACACACACACACACACTCTCACTCTCTCTTCAGCTTGTGCAATACATCAACAGTCTAGTCTTTTTTTGCATGCTATTGAGTAATGTTTTTTCTTGTCTAATTTGACATGTTTTTTATGTCAAGTATCAACATTGTGAAAAGACAGAACAGATTATTTTTGCCACCAATGACCTCTTACAACCTGCAAAGATCCAGGTGAAACTTCCCCACACCTCAGTCAACTGGACTTGTGGTTTGGCCTTGTAGTGCTGTTTATTTACAACCTAAATATATCCAGCGCTGGTTCATGACCCAGACACACACAAACAGCAGCTGTCACGTGGACACAACATCACAGCCCCCTGTCTGCATGTTTCCAGAGAGCCGCATTCTGCAGCATGACATTTTTCACGACCCTGTTTCAGATTTACAACCTGCTGTGAAACAGACTGATGACGCTGCCAGAGCCCAGTTGTTCATTCTAGTAAACACCATAGACAGGAAACTACAGCTCAGCGATCAGCCCGCTGCAGTAAAAGCTCTTTGCTGATCCCCTGCTGGGGTCATTACAGAGGTCAAAGAGATATTTTAAACTGTTGTTTAGCTATTCTCTAATATAGTCTAGCTATTGATCAGGGTTGCCAAAATGTTTTTTTTAAATATATCTTCCAGCTGAATACAGAGACAATATTTAATGGTACATGAAACTAGAAGGTTTGGCATCTCTTTATGAGTAGGATTTTCAGAATAAACAATTTGTAGACTCATACAAAAATAATACTTCTCAATCATCACATCTGACAGAAGTTTGTGGTGGTGTCTGGATCTGCAGAGACCCTGCCCTCTGACTCTGACCTATTTTCTGATTTTGCAATGTGTGGGACATTTCTTGGCATCAATGACGTACAAAGTGACCAGCTGTCAGATCGTAAGCACGCGTCCAAGAGGAAGCTACGAAAATGGCGGACAAAATAGACCGCTAAAATAGTTTGGGGAAACGCGAAGTGGACAAAGCATGTTCCAAAACGAGAGTGAAGACACTCAGCGTATGGCTACAAAGAAGCCCACATTAATGTCACATTTGGAGCATAGAACCACCTAAACCTCTGTGACTACCAGAAGTTGGTTGCACAATCAGTGTCAATGTACAAAGACACCAATGTGAATAGAAATACGTGAGACACAGATGATATATTGAATTGCTGAGTGATATGGAAGGATTATCAGTCAGTCAGGAAGCAATTAGCCTAGCTTAGCATAAAGACTGAAACAGATGGCATAACCTAAAAATACAGTCTTTATGCTAAGCTAACTCCTGGGCATCAAACACATTAAAAGATGGTGCCCCATTCATTCCAGTGAAAGTTGCTCACTGGTCACACAGGCTGAACAGGTTGATCACATGTGGTTACAGCCTCTCTCCTGGCCAAGCCACCTGACATCCTGCTGACTCACTGCACGCATGAACGACATAAACAATATTATTGACGTGAAAAAATAACATACTCTAGAGTTAAATTTGATTGGGCTCAGCCAGCTGTTCCTTTTGCAATAATTGTAAATTAGAAAAAGTAATTTTGTGCCAGGGTCACTGCATGTGAACCCACAGACGTGCGTCCTATCTCACCGTATCCCCCAGTGTGTGTGTGTAGCTACTGTGACGGCCCGGCCTCTGACAGCAGTCGTGGCTGATTACCTGATGCAGAGCACCTGGTCCTGGAGCATAAAAGCCCTGCTCCAGTGTTGCTCTGCCCTAGTCTTTCTCCGGCGTACGTGGAGTGATCTCTGCCAGTGGCTGCCCGTTATATTTTGGTTTTGGTCTTTGGTTTCTGACAACACCCCACACTTCATCTCACACGCATCCACGTTCACATTACTGATGTTACTGACTGACACACTTCACAAAGGTAATTACTTCTTTATTTAGTTAAAATAAATACTTTACTTTATCACCATCCCTTGTGTCTCGTCCGTATTTGTCATGGCCTAGGAGCTGGGTTATGACACTACTGAGACCAATAATGGCCAGCAACGAAAGAAAACAGTAATAACAAAGCGAGTATCTGCAGCATACATCAGTATAATTATTCTCAATCTGTCTGTCTGACTGCATGAATGATTGAACCGGCACAGGTCATTAAAGATGTTTCCCCCTCAGCCGAGCTGAGCTGTGCTGCAGCCCATAATAACTAGCTTTCTGGGCCTATGTGGGTTAATCCACTGTTGCATAAGGACAGTTCTAATGACTGTGTGTTTTGCTGCAGGTGATGGGTCTAATGGTGCATACTCTGACTTTCACTTTAGACCCGGACCAATGCTATGCATAGCAGGAAAAGATGAGAACTGCTGAGTGTTAACACACACACACACACACACACACACACACAGAAGGGATACAGAGGTTTAGTTTTCCAGGTGGCCATTCAGCCCAGATTGAGTGCAGTAACACATACAGGAAAATATTTCAAAGTGAGCCAACACATCAATGCTGCCTTCAGGGATATTTTGGTAATAACAGAATTACAACTTGGGTATGCACGAAAGATATGAAGGTAGTAGTGGAGACAATTACAACAGTACACCTGTATTCTTATGTATACTATGTGTAGTATTACTAAGGAATACTATATGTCCAACACAAGCATGTTACTTTATTACTACTCATCTTACTACCGCTTAGTGTTTTTTTGTATAATTATATATATTTTATCCTATATCATAGTAATCTTTTTATTTGTATTATATATTCACACTACTGTATTATTACTGTATAATGTGTCTATAATTAACGTATCCTCATATGACTGAATGATATCTTGTGAAAACATGTTTTGTTATTTTTCGTACATTTTCCTACAAATGTCCAGCAACACGAGCATCAGTGCGCCTGTGGAAGCCGCTTCAGGGTTTGAGCAACTAAACTTGGGTAGGTTTAGGAGAAGATAGTGGTTTGGGTTACAATCCGTACTGAAGTGGTGTTGCTGAAGTATGGAAGTTGACTTTTGGTTTCACTTGGGACATGACCAGTCTCCCTGGTGAAAGTCCACTCTCTGGGGATTTTCTCTTTATAATACATCACCTGACTCTTCATAGTTATAGTTAGAACAGCCTGGTATGCTGCACATAGATTATTCACACTATAAAGTTATGCATGTATATATATATACTTTTTTTATATGCATTACAAACTTATCTTATTCTATACATGTATATTGTAACTATTATACACATCATGGCTGGTTGCACAGGTGGAATTCTGGGTTGCTTTTGCACCTATGAGTGTCAACAACAGATTGCCATGAATATTGCTGTGTATATTCATAGTCACCAGAGGAACACATGAGCTTCCTCTAACACCGACCACAGGTGAACTTTGTACACAAGATATTGTAATCTAGTGGGACGATTGCAATGAATTCCTGCGTGCAATAAACTGTTTTCCATCTACAGGAAAATATTATATTTTAAAGGTTCCATATACGGGATTCAGAGCATTAATATAGCAGTAAACAACTATTTTCTTTACTTTTTTTGTGGTTTATATATATATATTATATATTTAAAAAAAATATCTTCACATAAATCAATTCAAACTAAATAACACAAATGAAATAAAAAATTTACTAGTCTCGTACAAAAATAACTTTCCGTACCAAAGATGACACTAATAGTAATAATAATACAGTAGAACAGTGACTGTTAAACGGTATACCTCTCCAGAAAAATTGAATAAACAGAAGCACAAAAAAACTTAAGTTAAACTAAGACAAATGAAGGTCACATGTTTATGTGTATTTTATTTAATAAGGGACAATGCTCATTAATTATCATAATATGCCAGATTTAGCTGTGCAGCCTAATTTTCATCTGCCATCCTGGCTGGTTGATGGTTTTACAACTTAAACATACAGAAACATGTATCATATATATCATGATTTGCTGCAGTTTCTTTGTGTGTAACCTACTTTCATATTACAGAGGACGTCCTGACCAAGGATGCAGGAGAATGTGCAATATGCCTGGAGGAGCTGGTGCAGGGAGACACCATCGCTCGCCTGCCCTGCCTCTGTATCTACCATAAAGGGTAAGTATGTTTCTTTCTCTTGCTTTACTTTTTCCCTCCAACGCAGCTCACCACAAACACATTGTCAGGGATTGATGAAGGAAAAACACTTGATTTGGTGATCTGGTGACATCTAGTGGTGAAGGGTGATCACCACTAGATGTCACCAGATCCAACATGTTGGAGTTTTGATGAGGACTACTGTACAATTATCTGTCCTTGTGTTTCACTCTTCTTCCTTACTCAGCTGCATCGATGAGTGGTTTGAAGTGAACAGATCGTGTCCAGAGCATCCATCAGATTAAAGCTGCTTTGCACTGGTAAAATGTCCCCAACATCCCACACAATGGATTTGTCCTGATTTAACCTGTTTTTAATATTCTCTCTTGGTTGTTTGGTGCCAGGTATTCCACAATGTGAGGGATCTACAAAAGGGAGTGTGGATCCAGGGAGACTGCAGGACACTGTGATCTGTTTAACCCCCCACCCCCACCCATGATGTAGTGCCACTGTGTGCCAAATCTCATTTAAGCAATCTTCAGGGATACAGACGTTTGTGTTTATGTTTAAGTTGCACATCTACTCTTGGTCTCCTTCTGGACGAAGTGGTCTCCACCTCACGTCCTCTCCGGCCCTGACACTCAGAGCTACACAGGACATCACGGCGGGGCTCCTCCTCCTGAGCGGCCATTGGACAGCAGGTGTCAGCTGATTGTACATCCGGACGCTGGAGGCGGTGGACAAGGTCCTGGAAATGGGGGGCCGTTGCTCCCTTCTTCCTTCAGCGTCAGGGTTTACCAGTGCCTTGTTGTTCGGATGCCCAGCCTCAGCGAGGTAGGACACAGGAGGACCGGCCTTTCAGCAGAGACGGCTGGACGGACTCGCAGGAGCGTCTCGCCACAACTGCTAGTCCAGCAGAAACGAGCCAGAGACTGGAGAGCAGCTCGGACATTTTCAGAACCGAAGCTGCTGCTGAAAAAAATGGTGCCAATCATCTGTGAATATTGTCAAACACACACACACACACTTTATCATCAGTGCTTTTTTAATCACATACCATGGAGTAGAGGTCTTCAGGTACCAAAACCTGACCCCAATCCTGGAAAGGACCCCTGGCTTACCGACCTGAGCCAAAACTAGAGTCCTGCTGCCAACATGACAAACACATTTTGGCTCAGAAACATTATCTTGTGTGAACTAGACCCTTCTCATCTCATAACATGATATGTTTCTTGTTAATGACATATAGGAATGTGAGGAAAATTCTGGTTATACAACGTATCATGTTATAAGGACAAACTGTTCTTGATTTAAAGAGATTTGTTGATTTTGTGTTATAACAAGAATGATTTTTGATAAAACAAGATGTTGTTATGACATGAAAAGTTTGTTCTTAAAACAATGTGTAGTGACTAACATGAAAAATATCATTTTATAACATGAATAGGATCTCATAAGAAACATGTTATCAACGAGAAAGTGACATTTCTTATTTTTACTTTTTATTTTGTCCAATTTGCTATGTTGGTTTTTTGCTTCTCCATGGAAATATGAGATTCTCTTTTTTTTTTTTCATTAAGTCTGTGATAGTCTATAATGTAGGCTGTGTATTAATTATAACATTTGGTCATACCTCCGTCGATACAAATATGATGAAACTCAGAGGGAAAAAATGTGTTCTGAAGTTCACATTTATCATATCTATCATATCAGTGTCTGATCTAGAGTTACAATAAACCAAACACTGTCATAGAAGTCGAACACAGAGAAAATGGAGTTAAAATAGATGAATAAAACACAAGATATACAATTTTTTTTGATTTAAATAATAAATTGAAACTTAAAGATAGTTTATGGAGTATCTGATCCTATTTTAAATCCCAATTTTTCCATTTGTTTTTTCAGTTGTATTAGTGTTTCCCTCTGGAGTTTTTTTGTCCCCGTCTAATTTCTCTCGTGCACGTGCATGAGGTCACACAGACAAGGGTGACGACATACACAGTGCTGTCAATGATGTCACTATTCTACAGGTGGCAGTAATGTGCCGAGAAATGCTGCAATGCACCAGCAGAGGCAGTACACGTGAATGGTTTCATCAAAGGAGAATGTATTCATCACATGTGTTCAAGCTTAAACACAACTTTGGTGAATGTCAACATAACTTTAATTTGTATACTACAAAACCCAACAGGGCACCTTTTAGTGTAATCCCACGTTTCCTTGTAATCTGCTCTGCGTGCTCTATTTCTATGATGGTGTTTGATGAGTTCTAACTTTGCATATGTGACACTGCTTGCTTTGGTCTGTGACAGTCACTGAGTGAGCCTGCATACTAAGGAGCACATCAGCTGAAATGTTTGTGATTGTTAAATTTGTGCATCTAATTAATACGGATAAAGCAAATGTGAACTTCAAACACTCTTTTTGACGTGTTATTGACAGATGACAGTAGAGAGCGCAGTGACTTGGGTGAGCACATTCATAGCAACATTCAAATGTTGGTCCCCAAGTGACCTTTTGTTTCACTAAAACTCTGTTGAGAACAGGATGTGGTTGAGGTCAAGCCAGCTGGTGATAGGTTGACTGAACTACAGCAGACGGGTCGAACCGTGGCAGCTTCCTGCATTCATACAGACACAGCACCAAGTAGAGTGGTCCAGGATCTGAGGGGCACTGGAATGACTGACCTGACACTGATCCAGTCTGTTGGTTGGGGTTTCATGGGTTTAGGATTGCATCAGGACCTCTACCACGGAGGAGCTGTAGAGCATACAGACTTTGATCCAGTGAAAACCTGTCAAAGTTGATCTCACTGACGAGCTCATCATCCACCAGAGAATATGAACTCCTCAGTGAAATCACTGAGTGTGGGTTCCAAAGCTCGGTTTCCTCCTCTTCTTTCCATTGCACAGAGCCCAGTGCTCGACCCGACACCATGAACACTCTTTTATCTTTTGTACTGGAAAAACAAATGAGCTGCTTTTAAAAGCAATCTGTGTAGACATGATGAATGTTTCATTGAAAGGGTCCGGTTTGGAATTGCCTAAATGGCACGAAAAGCATTTGTTTTCTACGAGACAAGTTTTAATTTCTTCACACACACTCAACACAAGGTACATATTGTGTGTTAGCAAGTTCTATAACATTACTGTCAAAAAACAAAAGGTAAGGAGAGAACACTGTTTAGCTCACACTGACAAAATGGATCACCAGAATGTTTTTTTTCTTGCCCCTCAGGGCAAAATATACTGAAGTAAAAAGTAAATCTTGAGAAACTTCATGGAAATGAAATACTAAATTACTGGAGTATTCCTTTTTAGGCACCTCCATTATTTATATGATAATACTTACTAATACTGTTTGATTTCATGTTGTGTCATTCTCTGGTTATGAAGCCATGAGGGATCAGTTTGTGGGTCACTGGAGGAAAACTGAGTGAGCTTTGGGATCCACACTCATCATGTTGTGTTTGTAAAGCTGACAGCCACACAGAGTCTTGTAACTCGCTGTCCCTCCGCTCAGAGGGACACACAGTCATAGAGTTGTCCTCTGCAGTGTGTGGAGGAGGGAGTGTTCTTCTGTTTGTAGCAATATCCTGAACATTTGGCTCATACTCTACCTTCATCTCTTTAATCTGACTTCTGCAATCAATCATCGATCATTTACATGACTGATTAATCAAAGGTTTGACAATGACTAGTGAAGTCTTTCTGTCTGTGTGAGGACGAGAGCAACAGATCTAGCCTTAACAGATGTGATGACATTCAATCATCAAATCCTTCATTGTTGATTTCTAACAGCAGCTGGCAACAGCACAGTTTCATTTGTTATTTTATATGGCCTAGGAAGGTTAATTTATTGTTTGTGAACCTACTCTCTCGCAAAGCTCAAAACCAGAGAAATACTTCTCAAACTGGTGATGTCATCAAGCTGCTCCGCAACGAATGGCTGATTTTGTGTTTTCTTTTTTTATACCTAAATGGCTCATTTGGGTATAGGATATTCCATCCTAGTGAAATGTCCCCATATACTCAGAACATATCTGTGGGTGCTCTGTGTCGTCTAGAACATCTTTCCTAATTCATTATCTATGGAGCACTACCACACTATACTTGATGACATCACACATTTGAGTTTTGGGATTTCGGAAAGAGATGTTCATGTATGTAATATTTGTGGACTGATGGATTTTGAAAATGGGCTTTCCCTTTAAATGAAACCATAATCAGGGGGTGGAGTGTTAAAGAAGCTCACATTTGGTGCTATAAGAACACAGGAGGTTAAAATTCCTTGTCCACTTACTTGCTGTCCAAAGCTTTCAGCCATAGCCTTCCTATCAGATGGACAACTCAACAATCTCCATGACAACTGAACTCAACCCACTGACGAAGCTTTGGAAACAACAAGTTGACCTTGTTTTTCTTTTTGTAGTGGCAGAAAGGTCGAGACACTGTCATTGGTTTAACTGGAGTTCATACTCTGAGGAACTGAGGAAACAGATTCAGGATAAGTCGCACTTTTTTGCGTTTTTCATAATTTATCTCTTACCAGTTCAACAATCATCACTTAAGGAAATGTAACCCGGAATATGTGCTGTTCAATATGTAACTGACAAAGACAGAAAATCGTAACAAACATAAAATATGATTAAATATTTATTTTTTTGAAAAACTATGTACAAAAAGCAATGAAATGTGAATTATTTGGATACCAATCATTCTCTTGTATTTATTGAATTTTTATACCATATTTCTTTTAGAGAAAGAAAAGGGGCCCTACTGGGAAAAGTGAGGTGGTGCTCAGGCCTCAACGTGCTCAGGCCTCAAAGCTGTAGCAGCCAGCTGGACTGTGTGAAGTTTTGCCCATGCTAATATGATTCACAGATACACTTAGCATCACTGTAGTATTAGTGACACACTATTGCAGCTCCAGTGTAACATATACTGTATATTAGATTAGCAGCTCCAGGTCTCTGGTCTTCTGTTCTCTTATTGCTTTACAGACAACACAGTCTCACCCTTATACTCAACAACGTAGGTTTGCATATGGGCAGTAAGACATGGAGGACAGAATTGTCCCCACCAATAGCTGAGCAAACTAATTGGCATCATCATCGCATCGCATTATTATTATTATTATGTGAACTGTTGCCTGCATCTGAAGGGGATACCACCATATCAGCAGAGCAATAACATAATGCACAGCAGACTATAGAGCAGATTATATGTTTTGTTAAAATATTGTGCTTTATTATGAGCTATTCAAGTTTTTGGGTTTATAAGTTAATTTAAAATGAATAAATGTTTCATTGACATGAACCGGTGCCACATGCACATTAAAAGAGGTTTCACAAGTGAGGACAGAAGAGTAAACTGACTAAAATGACTGCATGTGTGCTGACTCAGCAATGATAACATTAAATGAGAGAAGTTAATCGACAGGAGAATGAATATTTGATAACAATAGAGAATGCCTTACTGTATCCTTTTATATTTTTATATTTTGAATTGTCATCAGCCACCTGAATTTTGTGTTCTCCTGTAAAAGATAAAGACATTTACACCTTAAATTTGTGCATACCAATGTACCTTACCTTAATCTGTTCAAGCCATAGTACACAGTATTGTGTCAAAAAACACATATACCACTCATTCGTTATATTTCATCCGTTCAGGTGCGTAACCATCTAGCACAGCAACACTGAAATGATCCCTCACCACCATGCCATCAGCAGTGACAACTGATCCTCCCTAACCCTCTATAGCAGACCTGGGCATTGTACGGCCCGCGGGCCACATCCGGGAGGTCATTGGGAAATTAGGAATAAAACGTAAATAAGTGTACATCATGCACAGAATAGAGTTGCATTGCTTTTATTTTGAAGGCGACTTTTGTTGTTTTTTTTCCTTCTCAATTTACGTATGTTAATGAACGTATGTGAGCAGCAGCGTCACTGCAATGTGTTGGCGAACTGAGTTTACCCGAGATGTGAGTTAGCTGTTAGCCCTCAAAAATGTCAGCCTGTGTTAAAAAAAGAAAGACTGACACAGAGTGTAGAATTTTTAACAAAATATGGACTTTAAAGTGTTTTTTTTACTGAAGTCAAAGGTAAAGCCGTGTTCGTGGAGAACAAGTCGCAGTGTTGAAGGATTACAATTTGAATCGTCATTACGAGAGGAAACACGCGGAGAAATACGAAACATTGACTGATGCAGAGCGGACACGGATGTCTGAGGCTTTGCTAGCTAAGCTGCAAAAGCAACAAGGCCTTTTTTTACCAAGCTTCACACATCCAGGGAATGCAGCCGCCAAGACCAGCTTTGTGATATCCCACAAAATTGCAAAAAACAGTAAGCCATTCTCTGATGGGGAGTTTATCAAAGAGTGTTTGGTGGACTCTGCTGCACTACTATGCCCCCAGAAAAAAGACGCATTCGAGAATGTGTAGCTCTCCAGGCGCACCGTAAGGAGGAGGATCGAGGACATCAGAGGGAAATCTGGAGCTTCAGCTGCAAAAAAAAAAAGCAGACAATTTCGAACTTTTCTCCTTGGCTCTGGACGAGAGCTGCGATGTCCGCGACACAGCCAGTTACTCATCTTTATACGTGGGATAACGAAAGACTTCGTGATTACAGAGGAGCTGGCAGCAATGCAGTCAATGAAAGGGACGACGACGGGGAGTGATCTGTTCACGGAGGTAGATGCATGCTTCCACAAGCTGGGACTGAAATAGGACAAACTGGCATGTGTCACAACCGATGGTTGTCCAAAAAAATCTGACGGGGAAAAATGTCGGAAGATGTTGGTTCTCTTTGGATCGACCTACATCTGTGAACAAACATTCTCCGTGATGAAGTTGAACAAATCCAGATACAGATCCTCTCTCACTGACATCACCTGTCAGCTGTCCTTCACATCTCACCTCACACATTCAGCCTGACTTCAGTGCACTTGTTCAAGCCCAACAAAGACTAGATTTATCGCACTGAACTGAAAAACAGAAAGAGGTAATTTGTATAGTAATAGTTATAGTAATAAAAGTACTAATTTTGCAAAAACATGATCCCTGTCAGTGTTCTACTATTATATATGGATATTACAAATGTATATGTTGTTTGGATTATTCCTGCTGCAGATGTTTTAGGTGGAGCTCATTTTAACTCCTTTATACTCTGTTGTTCAGTTTGGGTAGTTGGGAAAGGTTTGAAAATGATAATGTGCAAAGTAACTAGTAACTAAAGCTGGCAGACAAATGTAGTGGAGTAAAAAGTACAATATTTCCCTCTGAGATGTAGTGGAGTAGAAGTACAAAGTTAAATAAAATATAAATACTCAAGTAAACTACCTTGAATTTGTACATAAGTACAGTACTTAAGCAAATATACTTAGTTACATTCCACCAGCGATCATGATATTTACTCTTACCACTCACAGCTCATCAAAACCATACAACATACTGCTTTTTATAAAGAGGTGGAATAATATTGAGCAGGATTGAGTTCAGTCTATTGGTCTGGCCCTCCACAACAGTCCCTGCTTCTCATGTGGCTTGGGAAAAATAATTGCCCACCCCTGCTCTATGGCATGACTTTATTTTGGGGTGTAAAAAATATTTCACCCCATTTTTGGGGAGCTTGGGAGTCCCTAATAATATATCAATCATAAAATGTGTGTGAACATGATCAGGCAGTCAGGCTCATTTGAGACACAATTAGGAGGTCAGGGGTCAGTCAGCAGAGTAACGTGTGTGTGTGTGTACTTATGTTTATTATGGTGAGGCCCGACACATGGAAGCACAGTCATAGTGGGGTCCAAAAATATTGTGGGGTCCAAAAGGCTGGACCTCATAAATTTGTACAGTAAATTGTATGGTTTTGATAAGCTGCGAGTGGTAAGAGTAAATATCATGATCACTGGTGGAATGTAACTAAGTATATTTGCTTAAGTACTGTATGTACAAATTCAAGGTACTTCACTTGAGTATTTCCATTTTATTCAACTTTGTACTTCCACTCCACTACATCTCAGAGGGAAATATTGTACTTTTTACTCCACTACATTTGTCTGGCAGCTTTAGTTACTCGTTACTTTGCACATTATAGTTTTTCAAACCCTTCCTAACTACCCAGTCTGAAGTCAGGTTGAATGTGTGAGGTGAGATGTGAAGGACAGCTGACAGGTGATGGTCAGTGAGAGAGGATCTGGATCTGGATTATTTCAACTTCATCACGGAGAATGTTTGTTCACATATGTAGGTCGATCCAAAGAGAAGCAACATCTTCTGAGCATGTTGCTTTAGCAGCTTAGCTAGCAAAGCCTCAGATGTCCGTGCCGCTCTGCATCAGTCAGGTTTTAGTATTTCTCCGAGTGTTTCGTCTCGTAATGGAGTTTCAAATTGTAATCCTTACTTACACTGCGATCTGTTCTCCACAAACTAAGCACACGGCTTTACCTTTGACTTCAGTAAATAAATACTTAGAAGTCCATGTTTTGTTAAAAACTCTACACTCTGTATCAGTCTTTCATTTTTTAACATAGACTGACATTTTTGAGGGCTAACAGCTAACTCACATCTCTAGTAAGCTCAGTTCACCAACACATTGCAGTGACGCTGTTGCTCGCACACATTCACCAACGTACTAATGTACGTAAATTAAGAAAAAAAAGGCCTAACGCTAAAAGCTAATATTTAGGTAATAACTCAAAAAACAGAAAAAGGAACAAGACAAGGGGCCTTTCAAGTACGGACTTGTGTACTTTGGAGTCTGTTCTTAAGAGCATAAAAGGCTGAGAATGTACCTTAAACCAGTAAAGGTGTGTAAGCATCGGATTCTAATGAAAACATCTTGAAAGTGAATTCAACTGTCCCGAGACACTTTTTTGAAGAAAATCTTTGAAAATATGTTTACTTTCACAAAATCAACTTTTGGCCTCTTCCCAGGCTGAAACGTCTTTTAAGAGCATAAAAGGGTGGGAATGTACCTTAAACCAGTAAAGGTGTGTAAGCTATTATGTTGAGTATGTTAAGAAGCAGGGTTCCTGTATATGTGTTTTGTGCTTTTATTGTGAAGGAGACGGAAAGAGAGAGAGAGTGGAAAGAGGTTCTGAAGGTGTGTGTGACAAGGAATAAAGTAGCTGCCATCTTGGCGCCGAATGCAGAGCGCCGTGTTTGTTATTTTATTATCCTAAAGTATAGGCGCAACATAAACCCTCTGCTACATTGGAGGCAGCGGTGGAATTGCTTTCCTACTGAAAAGACCCATCGTCAGATAAGTGAAGAAGACAGCTCGCCGAACTTTTAGCTGCCTGACTTTGGGGGCTACTTACCGCCTAACCTCCGGAGTAAAAGCGAGTGTGTCGTTGCGCACACAGTGACTTCGGTGAAGAATGGGGTTACGCCCGTGTGTTCACTAACAGGGACCACGCCAATAACAGTATGAGTTTCGAGAGGTTTATTGCATAGAGGAATGATTGTTAGATTCATGAAGCGGAAGGGGTTGAGGGATGTAGGGGAGAGGGATAATGGGATGTGGGGTAGGGATGAAGGGATGAGGGGTAGAGGTAGAGGGATGTAGGGTAGGGATAGAGGAATGAAGGGGTGTAGGGTAGAGGGATGAAGGGATGTAGGGTAAGGATGAAGGGATGTAAGGAAGAAGAAATGAGGAGGGTTCGTAGGAAGGCGGTTTAGCGATCGAAGGGGGACCGTTGATGTCCGGCGGCTGGCAGGAACGGAGACTTGTAGGCTGGGGGCTGTCTCTTCGGAAGCTCTGGCAGTGCAGAGTCCCCAAAGATAGCTCCATAAAGACTGATGCCGATGGCGTTTCTGGTGTCGTTCGGGTTGGAATGAACTTGTGAGAGGTACGTGGGGGAAGGCCAACAATCACGTATCTTGAGGATGTGGTCGGAAATTCCTTGGCTTGAAGCGGTGGAGGCAGCGCTGAGTAAACTCGGGGGGTATTATGGATCAGCCCAAGATATGGCGAAAGTGGTGGTGCCCTGAGACTACAACAGGGGATCTTGCAGGGAGTTCGGCTGGTTGAACTTGAGCTTAAGTAGTCGCGGATGGGTTCGTACAGACTTGAGTACGAGTCTGGTCGGAAAAGGTAGATGGGTTGAGGTGGACCGTATTGGTTGGTCTTGTGGCGTTGAGGTGATAGACAACTGTGTCGGGAGGATGGATGTGAGTCATACGCGTCCTTCCGAAGAAAACGAAAAGGTACCGGTAGTTGGGATCGGTGGTAAGGACTTGGAGGTGCTGGTGATGTCTGCCTTAGGTGACCGGCTTCTTCGCCTGCAAGGCGAATGGGGAACGTGGCGTGATCGATTCTTATGTACTTCGTGTAGTAGTCCGGG